TTTCCACATCAGTTTCCTGCAGATAATTCCCAGGAACAGGCGGCGCTGAAACAAAACGACGTGGAGGGCTTTGTAGTTCAGACATGAAAAAGAGATGTAATCATCGTGTACAACCACAATCTCTGCATACTTTTTAATACTTATTACCGGCACACATCTTATTAATGACTTCCTTAAGCCTTTTAAGTGTTCAAATGCTTTCTGCAGCTCCACATTTCAGAGATCAGGCTCTTAATTGCAAAAACGGTCACAGTGAATCCATCCAGCGTAGCGTGGAGGGAAATGTGCGCGGTGCAAAGTGGGTTAACAAGCAGTTAGGAACAGCATATGGCTGCAAATCAAGGAATATGAAAAAGCTGCGCCTGCATCATCATCAGAAAAAAGCAAACAAAAAGGCAGCAGCAAACAACAGTGACAGGTCTGCGGATCAAAGCGGCGGCTCATGGAACCGGAGCTGCAGGTAGGTGCAGAAGCTGCCGAGTTGTTCAGTATTCCACCAGCGTCGCTGCAAACCCCACATGGCCCAAAATAATCTGCTCCAATGCATCAGAAAATGGAGGAACGTTCGTCCTTCTCTCATCAGCGAAAAAACAAAAAGGAGGAAGTAAATTGACGGCATGGTGTAAGTTTCTGGCAGAGTCTCTGTGCGGTAATTACAACTGAAAGAGATCAGGCTGCAGAAGACGGATCATTTACTAATAAGCAGCTCTGATTCCTGCGGCCGGGATGCAGAGGAAGCTCCTGGGGCCGCACGCCCTGACAGGCCTTGATCAATCTGCTTTCCAATGAAGACGCATTATTTTTAGATATGTGACAAGCAGAGGAAAACTCTGCTTCCCAGGCATGTTTCACTTTTATATTAGCAAGAGGCACAAGTGGTGCATTTTCCAGAGGAAGATGTGACAGACTAATCCACAGAGAGGAGTGTTCTTGCCTCAGTGATCCCCCACCCCCCCACAGTGAGCATGACAGTTGGAGCTATCTCCGAACGTCAGCAGGTAGAACTTGTTTGCATCATTATATATGAGCGCGCTGCCCTGTTTGTGCTCACAGAATTCATTTTGCAGATTAAAAGGAAAGTGTGAAACAGATTCATTAGGTGCTCCTGTGTGTCAGCAGCTCTGAGCTCCTGCAGGAACGAAACCGGATCTGTCCCCTGGAGAAATCTGGTCTCACATGATTACAGAAATGAGACGTGAGGAAAACAAATAGTTTGCGATGCCCTGCAGAACCTGAACCTGACATTAACCCCCCCTCCGTTTGGGAGAGTCGGCGTGTGTGTGTGTGTGTGTGTGTGTGTGTTTGTGTTTGTGTGTGTGTGCGGTTTGTTTGGCTCCTCGCACCATTACCAGGAGATGGTAATTGTTGCTTGTATATGCATGTTGGGGAATTTTGATCCATGGTGATATTTTCTTTCCTCCATCCAAGGACAATTACCAGAGAGTACAGCAGATATCCGTGTTTGCTGGCAGCAAAGGCAAAGTTTGGATTAAAGAGAAATAAAAGGATACTTTAAATATGTGGAGCTTTGCACAGACACAGTTGTGACTGATCCGCACCTCGAGCTGAGGCTTTTCTCTGCATGACTAATATATCTGTGCTCTTTCCTTATGCGTTTGCAAGCCTTCTTGAACATCCTCCAGAGACACGTCTCCTCTTTGAACTGCGCTCTTCATCCATCAGGACCATGTCCACTGCAGAAGCTGCACCACTCTGGCTTCTCAGCGCAGAATAAATCAGCTTTTGATGGTGCGGTCATGCTCTGAACCAGACGGGAATGAAAGGCAACGGCAGCGTAAATAAACTGGGATGCTGCCGGTGTTGTGTTTTAAATTTTCCCCCGGTGCCGTGCAGCAGGTGAGCTGATGCAGTTTGCTTTCATTAGGAGAGGAAATGGCTGCATAACAGAAATCACCGTAAATCACTCTGCTTGAGCTGATGCACATAAATGGTGCGTTTTGAAAGTAATGTACTTCCATTTAGAGGGGCTTCTTTTGTGGCTGCTCTGTGAGGCAGGGAGCGGCCAGGACAGCAAAAATATCTGGATCGGAATCCATATCCAGTGGAAGTGTTACAGTACAGGACCATTTTAATATGTATATATATTTAATAATAGCTTGGTTTCCTCAGAGGTAAAAGGTTTGGGGTTCAGATCTCACCTGATGGATTTAATATGCATGTAGCTGCAGAGTTTTTCATGCTGTGGCTGTATATTAATATACTGTTCACTTTATTCATATAGTGCACTTTAAAAACTAATTTCAATCCACATCCCAGTTGATCCTGGTTATCAAACAGTTAAAAGTTTCTGTGTAATGAAGCCCAGCAGAGCTTGGAGCCGTCTCTCCCCCTGGACAGAAACCAGCGACGAGCGCTTCCTGGTGTACAGGAATCCCTCATACTGAGCATGCATGACGCGACAGTGGAGAGGAAAAACTCTCCTTTAACAGGAAGAACCCTCCAGCAGAACTGGAACCAGAACCAGGCTCAGTACAAACTGGTCTGTCACAGCTGACTGGAGGTTTACATGATAAACACACAAGACAAACATTTGTGGCTGTTGAGAGGAAGAGAGCCGTAAACTCCTGAGTCTGCATGCATTTGGTTCAATCTGCTTTGAGAAACATTCCCAGAATTCCCAGAAGGATAAAAAATCCACACGATAAACTCTGCATGCTACAGAAACTTAAACCGTTTTTAAGAAACCAACTTCTGTTGTGACGTTACAGTGGACAGTCTGGATGCTCAGAAAGTTCTGGGCAGCTTCTTATGAAGTAACAAGGTAACAAACTTTGGTTTCTTTATTAGCTGGACCCGGAGTGTCAGGACCGACCGGTGGTTCTGAAGCTGCTGTCCACATTCACATCCAATTTGACACCATGTGAGAAACTCTTAGAGCATTTTTCACACGAAGCTTTGTTTGGAGCAAACAGTCTGCATCTCAAAGTGCCACTTCATGTCAGCTGCTGTGCAGAAACATGGCCGCTTTCTGCATGTGGGCCGACGTGACGGGTTTGGTTCTGATGAGGTCTGGAGTTTTCCTAATCGCTGCTGCAGTTCGCAGCGTCACATCGCTAAACTTTTTTAATTACAGTTTGCACTAATATACAGAAACAAAACTTTAAAAGCTGTTTCTCCCGTTTCCATAAAACTGTATTTCTTTGATAAAAAACTGGAGAAACTGGTTTGTTTATTAGAAATGTAATAATTTAAAGAAGTTCATATCTACTGAACATTTTTCACATTTTGTCAAAAACAGAAACTACTTTTTATGGGATTTTTATGTGATGAACCAAAACAAAATGGTGCATAGTTATGAAGTAAAGGATACATGATGCATGGTTGGTTCTTTATGTTTTTACATAAAAATCTGAAAAGTGTGGCATGTGTTGGCACTTCCTCCCAGTTTCAGCTCATCTGGGTTTCCAGCTCTGCACAGGACTGAACCTCTGGGCCGTTCTTCTCTGAAACGGATCAAAGTCTGGATGTGGATATCTGTGAACATCGGTTTTCAATTGTTGCTAAGGATTTCAGTGTGGACTTTGACTGGGCCATTCTGTCACAGCATTAAGCTTTGGTCTGATTAACACACAGCCTGTCAGTCTGGGTGGACGTACAGGTTAGTAGGTCTCCAGTTGGTCCATCGTGTCTCCAGCTGCAGACCCACAGAGCAGCCCTCTCTTATCCTACAGACTAGCCAGCAGCAATTAGCAAACACCTGGTGGAACTTCTCATCTGCTGAGCTTGTATGAGCTGCTTGTCAGTGCAACATAATGAAACCATCAGAAGCTTAACAGAGAAACATTTTTCTAATGATGTGCTGAAGACAGAGTGTCAGAGAGACCGGGAGCTTCTTAAAGAGACAGAGACCCAATTTAAACCATTAAAGTAAAATGTCTTTTAAGTCATATTTAATTGATTGTACTATAAAATGGAACATACATGTATGTATGGGGCTGTATAAGGATGGAGTCAGACTTTCACCTTTTCTGTGACTCTGAACAAAAATTTACTGGATGAAAAAATCTGAATATTTGAGTCTGGATCTTTGCAAAATGTGTTGGAAGATTGGTTTTGTCTTTCTGATGCCGTCATGCATCAGAAGTGAGTCGGCCTGTGGAGAGGTATCCTCCACAGAGCCGTGTCTGTGTATTTACAGTACGGAGCCTCCGGGCCCAACTGGCACCGATAGTGAGGAACATATGCACCTTCCAGTGGGAGCCCATCTGACCGGGCCGCTGGCTGACGACCGCCTGCTTCTCTCCATATGCAGCCGACAGACGGCCAGAGCAGACTCTGCCCTTCAGTCAGAGAGACTTTACTGCGGCCTTTCACAGGTCGTTCCTCTGAGCCTGGAGCCGGAGAGCTGTGTGTCGCTCTGATCTGGAAAACCTTACACACCTGCTCACCTTTACCTGCACCCAGACATGCTAACAACTGGCTCAGAGTTGTTAAAGCAGTAATTGCCCCATTACCCTCACCTTCAACCTGCTTTTCTCACAAACACACGTTGACTCGCAGAGGAGGATGTGATGTGTGAAGGAAATAATGAGTGGAGGACGAAAAGAGAAGCTGAATGCTGGGAATGTAGCCTCCAGGTGGGACGCTAAGTGGACCCGGTTGGTCATTAGCATTAGCATGCACGGTTCTGACTTTAAGCTGATTGTCCCCCTCCGTCCCCAGGCTGACTCCTGATCAATGCAGGGTTACGGGTCTTTATCCGGGTGAATGTTCAGAACACCGAGTCCCTGCCGGCCCGACACCGACCCGTTTCCATGGCGCCGGCAGGGTTTCAGGGGCTGCAGATGTTGGCGCATATTTAATAAGCCTGATCACTGGAGCCCCCGACCTCGCCGTGTAATTCCTCTACCCAAGTTGCATCTGTTCGCCGTGTTCTCACTGCAGCCTCATGCTGGCGCAATAGTTTCACAAAGTCACACAAGTCATGGAGTGACTGGCTGCTGCTGCCACGGCAACAAGCAGGGCGATGCGGAGGGGAACTGATGGACGCAGGTTTCCAACTCCATCAGTGTTTAGTTTTGTTGAACTGAGTGGGCAGTTTCAGACTGACCACTGCAGCATCTTACCCAGAACACCTGCAGGTCATCAGATAACTAACTGGCAGCTCGTCCCTTTGGATCTCCTGGATCTTATCAGAGTAAACTCGGAACAGTCGGGATCCAGTTTCCTCTCAATATTTTCCTGCATCTTCAGCTTCAAACACTTCCAGTCACAAAGTAAACACACCGCGCCGCGTTCACTTTTACGCTCCAAGCCAAATAAGTTGTTTCTGCCTCGGCTTGTTTCCCTGAAGACTTGGGCTGACCCACTTTCACTCATCCTGCTCACCTTCAGGGCATCAACCGAATCCAGAAGATTTTCCCAGCAGTGTTTGGAATCAATGGGATATGATTAAGTAATGAGTCTGAAACAATGAGGATAATTTTAAACAGCCGCAGTGTGCAGCAGCTCGCTGCAGCTGTGGAGTCTGTTCACAGAGAAGACCTCTTGGAACATTTCTGATTAACACATGGATATGATTGATTAGATTAAAAATAGATTTTATGTTGAATTGTTTGACAGTCAGGTTGGAAACAGCAACAGAGAAGTTAAGGTGAATGTTTTGCTCCAACATCTGACTTTATCTTCAACCTCTGAATGGAAGAAAAGCTAAATGAAGACAGGATCCGATACGTTGCATCTGACACACTGAACGAAATATCAGGAACCATTTTAACAAACTTTAACAAGGCTGACGGCCAGTAAATCCCCCAGAAATCAGTAACCTGATTTTTATTCTTGATAAATGTTTATCAGGTTCTCAAACTTCATTTTTAAAGTTCTAACTTCCTCTGACTGGTTATGTGTGTCTAACAGCAGGTGACTGTGACCCATGTCTGATTTTTGAGAATTGGAGAGTCTGAACACATCAGTTCCGATCAATTCACACCTAAAAAAACTTAATTTGATTCAACTTTTACATCATTGATGTGAGACATGAGTCATAATTCATAAGAAGCCAGATGTGATTAAATCCAGATTTCATTTATTTCTTTATTTCAAACTGGTTTTTAAAACAAGAAAAGAAGAAACCAGTAGGACAGAGAAACATGTGCATGAATGTTTCTCTGTGCATAATGATCAGAAATGTGTCATTAAAAACCATGTTGCAGTATTTATATACCTGTTCAATATACTGTGCTAAAGAACCAACAAATAAATATTAAATAAAATTATTACAAACTGAACCTCAGGACAAGACAATTTATAAACCTATGAGAGAAATCTGTAGCTGCTTCCATTAACAATTTTATGCATATTTTTGAAGTTTCACATTAGAAATTGTTGATGGAAACAGCAAAGTTTGAAATAACTCCCTGAATTGTGCTGAAATGTTTGAAAACTTGTCTGCTGGTTTTTTGCTACTTGTTGTTTACTGCAGCCACGCGTAGCGTCAACATCTGAAGAAATTAAAGTCTGCGTATCCTGGCTGATTCACTGGATGGAAGCATGTCCAATTTGGATCTTCTGTTTTGCAACATTTTAAAAGTTAGCTCAAAATTCTGCTGCTGTGGCGTCGACATTCAGGATCCTGCAAAGGAAATCAGATTTCAGCAAAGAATCAGAAATGAGCATCAGGAGCTGCTGTGTGAACAGTTTAAGCTTTCTACATGAAGTGTTGAGAGCTCTATTTAAATTGATCAACATCCATATTTTTAATAATTCAGAACCTAAAGTGCTTTTCTAAGTGACATTTAATTAGTTATTTTTACGAATATCGACACAAACTGGCGGATTTTTCATCTTCACACTAAAATAATACGAGCCATTTTCCATCTTTTTAAAGTATTTATGCTCTGAAGTGTTTCTAAAGCAGCAGCTCAGATTTCCTCTCTTCTGCTTTTGGACACAGCTGGTCACAGAGACTCAGTGTTTTCCAACAGAGACAAGTTAAACATTTTTCTGAGGAATTAAAAATGTAATTGGAATAATGGGAAAACTCTCCAACTGATTTCTGTAAAGTTTTGATGTTAACCAGGACTGAGAGCGTCTGTCCTGTTTCTATCGGCTGCATCCCGTCTCCACACACCTGGATCCCTGGATCAGCTTCCAGTCGTTCTGCACATGCTCAGTAGCGAGTCGTTCATTTGATCCAGGTGTGTTGAGACGGGATGCAGAAACCGACTCCTGAATTCAGGTAAAGTTAAAGTTTCTCCTGAAAAAACTGTTTGCATTGTGAATTCTTGTTTCAGGTTCCATGGGTTTGAGGCAGATGTAGCTGCTTTTATTCAGTGTGTGTGTTTGGGTTTGACTGCTCGAGTCTGGGAGTGTGTTCTGCAGACATCAGAGCCAAAGCAGCAGATTGATGAACAGCTTCAGCCTTCAGGGTGTCAGGAAGCCGAAGCCTCTTCCTTCCTGCTCCTCTGTCCCCCACAAAGACCCCATGAACCATCACACCCACTGCTCCTGCTCTAACCCCACCAGTTCCCCCATCAGAAGTTACACATTCGTAAAAAGTCTTATTCCAACTCTTCCCTAAGGCGCACACGTTTTATTATTTCTACTCTAAACCCTCAACATGTGGTTAGAAAATGCTCTAATTGTTCTGAAAGTCTGAAAAGAAAAAGGTGACACCAATGGCAAAATGACAGTTGAATCAACATACAGAGGAGCAAGAACAGAGTGGATGAGATGCAATAAAGCCGACGATCAGGAGTCTGTTTCATTTCCACCAGTGAAACAAACTGGGGATTTTTATCCTCTTTGACAGCAAAAATGTAAATGTTTGCATGATGTTTGACTGGAATAAGTTTCCATTTTAATCTGGTTGATTTCCTTTAATCCTGAATGAAAAGATAAATTTATCCCCAGCAAGTGAGATAAAAACATTTATAGATTTACAGACGATAAATCTGATGGATAACATCTGAATTTCTATTCAGCTGTGTGACGGTCTGGAAAACATCAAATAAAATACATCAGTGTGTGTCTGCATCACGTTGCTGAGGGTTTCTGATGGAGTAAAGCATCAAATATAAAAATAAAACTGTTCATAAGTCAAACAGAAGCTGGACGAGTCCGACGTGTTTCTCTGTCAGTGAAAAACAGGAAAAATTCAAATCCGTTTAATTCACAAACTTTCTGGATAGAAATGTTTCCTCAGACTGGTTTGGTCCAACAGGCTGCCGCTCTGAGTGACGCAGGTCTAGAATGCGTCATCCATGAACGGTGATAGATGAGGGTCAACATGAGAAAAATCTACTTAATTTAACTGGATGATGGATGGAGCTCCAGTTACTCAGATGGACAAAAAGAACTTCTACTTTGAACAAAGTTAGAGAGAAAAAGGCTGAACATTTAGTTAGTCTGACATTTATAGTCAATTATTTTAGACCAAAAGGAGAAAGAGGCTGAAATCTGACTCAGCTGATCTGCCTGGGACTCATTTTTTCCTTCCTCACAATGTTCCTTGAATTTGCATCTTTAAATTTCCTGTAAATTTAACGTCTTTATGTGTGAAAGGAATAGATTTACATCCTAACTGTTGCCTCTGTTGTCTTGCAGGTAATTCTGATGCTAACCAAACTCTTTGACTTCAACCTCAACAGTGCGACCGAGAGTTCATTATGGAGGTAAGAGTCCGACACGTTTCACCAGGTCATGATGGGAGCACGTCTGAGTTTGACACAGTAAATTGGTCCGAGGAGCCGCTGAGGCGCCGTCCACACTTCCCATGGCTTTAATCGTGATTTAAAGACGCTCCAGATTCTCACACACTGAGAATGACTGAAATGTTTGAAACTTCTGGGGGAAAGTAAAGTCAGAGGAAGGTCTGAGGATCATGAGCCCATCAGAACCTGGAGCTGGAGGCTCGTTAGTGGAACCAGTCCAGAACTCTGAACCCAAAACCATCAGCTCAAACTCAGGCTGTGCTCCAGTCATGAACATGTTCAACAAACCTTTTCAGGTCAGTTTTATGAGATAAGCTCCAACACTGAGTGAGTTATGAATAAAATCTATATTCTGGAAAACAATCATTTGGATTACTAAACATATTTAAAGCTGCTTGTGTCCCAGTGTTTGGGCTTCGGGTTTCTTCTGTGTTGTTGCTTCATTTCCTTTTCATATCAGTTAAGGTTTGTTTCTTGGTTTATTTTTTTTGTGCCTCTGGATTTTGTTCTTGGGGTTTTTCTTCCCTTCTGACTTGGAGCTTTTTTCAGTCTCAGTTCTTCTCCATGTTCATCATTCAGACTTGAACTGGTTCCACCGAGACAAAATAATGAATCTTTAATAAATATTCGATTCTCTGCCAGCTGTCAATCCAAACGCTTATTAAAAACTTTGTTTTCATTTGCCTTTGGCTAAGTAATGTTATTTAATGTCCCTTTGGGATTAATTAACCATTTTTGAATAAGAAAAGTTTCTTTTAGTGAAGTGTTTTTGTGGAATATTAGCTAACCATCTTTGCAGCGTTTATTGTCTTGAGTAGAAATGACTTTATTGAGGAAAGTGTTTGAAGGGTTTCTCATCTGTCCTGTGTCTGGGAGGCAGCCTGAGGCGGCGCAGACACGCAGCGCAGACACGCAGCGCAGACACGCAGCGCTGCGGTGAACGCAGCGTCGCAGGAGGCCACTCAGCTCAGAGCAGCCAGCCATGATCCCGCATTATCCCGGTAATGGTGCCTCTCCAACGCTGTGATAAATCTAATAACCTGAGAAAACACAGCGCTTCGTAATGGACGGATGATTAAAGGTGTGTGTGGAAAAGCCTGACAGTCCAACAGAAAGACAGACGAGTGAACAGATGATTCACGTTTTTGAGTGAGAGAAGAGTTTAATGAGTGGACGGGACATGAGTAGAAAATTTACAGCCGGGAAGACGGAGCGGCACCTCGGGGAGCGATTCCAGCCTGAAGTAGGCAAAGCTGCATGAGGTAACAGCTTGAAATTTTTCTGCCCATAAATTGATGTGATGGGCGTGAGCATGAATCTGTCAAGCTGTCATTTCTTTATGGACAGCAGTGAAGTCAGCGTTTTAACAAGTAACAACACAAAGTCAGAAATCTCCTCAAACAAATCGTCCAGTTTTCCGTTTGTCTCCAGTTTTACAGATTTAGTCTCATTATTGATTTAAAAATTGGCTTTGCTCTCGTAAGCAGGCGGCTCTGGGATCTCAGAGAAATGATCACATCAGAGAATCTGATTCGGTTTAATGTCATCAAATTATTTCATACGTCAACAACCAAACTGGGTTCCAGGAACACAACATGAGAACAATAAGTCAAAGTAAAGAAATGAATGAGCGTGATGTTATGAATGAAAAGTAAAAGCAAACAGTAAAATGTTGTCTGAAGAATATTGGAACATTAAAAACCGTCCGTCTGTCTCCGGGTCTCAGATCTTCATCCAGGATCAGGAAAAAACACTGAAAGGTTCTGACTTCAGTTTTTAGTGAGAAAAAGGTGAAGCATCATCTATTCAGGATTTTAACACTTTTACAGTGTCTATAAAAAGTATTCAGCCCCTTGGATTCTTTTATTGTTATGACAAATCAATTATGATTAACAGAATTTGGATTTTTTGATAAAAATAAAACCCAACGAAACCTGTAATGTCAAAGTGGAAATTAATTTCTACAAAATATTGACAAATATATAAAAATATGACAAATATTCACCCCCTCCAGTCAGAATTTAGTATTTGCATCTTTTTGCCGCCGTCCCAGCAGGGAGTCTGTGAGGATCGTCTCATCTGGACGCTGCAGCGGCCATGACAGCAGCTGAAGAGCTGAGAGCAGCAGGACAGTCTAACAGGAAAGTCTTAAGCCGAGTCTTAAAAGTAGCCTCACTGTCTGAGAACTGAAAGATGATTAAAAGATTGACCATGAAATTAAAATGATGCGAAACCCAAAATATTCAAAGTTAACAAAAGTTAATAAAAATAGTTGTGTCATCTATTCTCTCCATTTTGGATGGTTTTATTTTGTGATAAATAAAACCATCTGCAGTGTCCATCTGCATCATTTACTGGAGTTCCACATTTTTACAATCCTTGATTTCCTGTAGTTGGTCCAGGAAAAATAATGCAGAGGGCTTTAAGTGGCCCGGGAGCCACAGGTTAACCCCCGGCCTCAGAACCGTCTCCACTGCTCACCTCGACATGTAACATGTCCCTCATTCTTCACTGCTTTGAATATCATCCAGATCCTCAAAACTAGTCCGCCATGTTGAGAATATTGGCCGGGTTCCTGTTCGGTGTGACGAACGGCCTGAAAATGTTTCCTAATTAGGGTTTTTGGATCCTCTCACTGTGTTCAACCACAGAGCTGCTCATTTTAAAAATACGTTCATGGTTAAAAAAAAAAAAGATTTCAGGAGTCGGAGGTGAGCCGTGGATCGTGACGGGCGGCGGGATGATGGAAAGGCATTGCGGATGTGGAGAGGAGGAGGGAAGGCTCTGATTTAGCCAGCTACTCCAGAGCTCCACTGAGTGAGAGTGCCAGGTTGCATAAATTCATCCTGGCCGACTCATCGCAGCTGCTGCTTGTCTGGAGCGGCGCTGCTGGCGTTTCCTGAGATCCACACATCTCTCTCTCTCTCTCTTTTTATGTCTCTCTCTGTCTCTCTCTCTCTCCCTCTCTCTCT